ACCTCCCCCCTCACCCCCATCCCAGGCCCCAAGAAGACGTTCCACATCAAGCAGATGTTCACCTGCACATCTGCTAATGTGGTCTATTGTATCTGCTGTACCCGTTGTGGCCCCCTCTACATCGGGGAAACCAAGCGGAGACTCGGGGACCGCTTTGCAGAACACCTACGCTCGGTTCGCAACAAACAACTTCACCTCCCAGTTGCGAACCATTTCAACTCCCCCTCCCATTCCTCAGATGACATGTCCATCCTGGGCCTCCTGTAGCACCACAACGATGCTACCCGAAGGTTGCAGGAACAGCAACTCATATTCCGCTTGGGAACCCTGCAGCCCAATGGTATCAATGTGGACTTCACAAGCTTCAAAATCTCCCCTCCCCCTACCGCATCCCAAAACCAGCCCAGCTCGTCCCTGCCTCCCTAACCTGTTCTTCCTCCCACCTATCCCCTCCTCCCACCTCAAGCCGCACCCCCATTTCCTACCTACTAACCTCATCCCGCCCCCTTGACCTGTCCGTCCTCCCTGGACTGACCTATCCCCTCCCTAACTCCCCACCTACACTCACCTTTACTGGCTCCATCCCCGCCTCTTTGACCTGTCTGTCTCCTCTCCATATATCTTCTCCTCTATCCATCTTCTATCCGCCTCCCCCTCTCTCCCTATTTATTTCAGAACCCCCTTCCTCTCCCCCATTTCTGAAGAAGGGTCTAGACCCGAAACGTCAGCCTTCCTGCTCCTCTGATGCTGCTTGGCCTGCTGTGTCCGTCCAGCTCTACACCTTGTTATCGCAGATTCTCCAGCATCTGCAGTTCCTACTATCTCTCTACTAACTGTAAACTCCCTTAATTACTTGGTAAAAGGCAATAGCTTACAGAAACTGATGGGAGAAAAATAGCTGGCAATCTTTGTCGCTTCAGGAATTTTTTAAGTCAGAGAAAGAGAGAGAGACCCACACAAGCTGCTCTGATCTGTATCCCACAAGCAGTTCAGCAGCTCAGCAACCAATCAGGGAGCTGTCGTCAGGCTGATGACCTTTGGTCACAGTTGCATAAACCAATCAGGTACTTGCTGCCATCCAAATCTCACTCTGCACACAAACCCTGATGCTATGCCATGCACAGACACCTACCCCCACCCCACCCCGATTAAACAAAGCAGTAGTGTAAACACCACACATAATGAGTTTTGCTAACTTGTTTTTAAGAATGCAATCATTCCACAGTCCTTAGCTTTAAAAAATATATCCGTTGCCTTTAAGTCCGCAATCATAAAATGCAAAATCCAACACAAATACTGCACACACACAGCGTGCACATACATATACACGCAGCCCTTTTGGTCTTGAGGAACGTGTGTTTCGCACGTTCACACATACACAAGTTACACAGACCAGGAACCGTGCACGCTTTAAGTAATTTGTTCATTTTTGTGCTAACCCTGAGAGTAGTGGGCCTTGAGAATCAGCATATTTCCCAAAGCGGCCATAGCAAGAATGTGCCTAGTTCCAGCACTTGGTCCAATGTGTGTCGAGGCTACTCCTCATCTTTGGTTGCATGTTAACCCAAAGCTCCTGCTGTATGGCCACCCAGTACAGAGCTAGGTCAGACAGTCTCCTTGTTGGATCTGCTCGCGGGCCTGGCCAGGGAGGGGTGCAATGTCTAAGCAACGGGCTGTGGAGGGGGGTTATTAGACTCGATTACCTCTCCCCTCTCTGTAATTATATCCAAATACGGGGGCTCCTGGAGAGGGACATGCAATGTCCTCCTGGCCCAGTTGAGATTTTTTATGAATGGTTGGCACCACAGGGGCTGGAATTTATTGTCCCTCTTTCCTCCACCATCGCCCCCAACAACTACATTTTCATTTAGACTTCAGTTTCCTTCAGAAGTTGTTTTTCATGTCAACGCCACTTTAAGGCCTTGCCCTTAAGTGAATTGGTTAATTGGATTAATTTCATTTGGTGAATTTTTTTTTTCCCTAAGAAGGATATACATTGAGCACCTGTGTCTTAGAGTCTTAGAGTCATACAGCTCAGAAACAGGCCCTTCGGTCCAAATCATCCATGCTAACCAGCTTTCCTAAACTGAACTAGTCCCGTTTGCCTGTATTTTGCCCATATCCTTCTAAACTTTTCTTATTCATGTACTTGTCCTAATATCTTTTAAATGGTGTAACTGTACCAGCCTCTACCACTTCCTCTGGCTGCTCATCCCACTCACCAACCACTTGCTGTTTGGAAAAGTTGCCCCTCAGGTCCCTTTTAAATTTGTCTCCTCTCACCTTAAACCTATGCCCTCTAGTTATGGACTTCCCTCCCCTGGGGAAAAGGCCTTGACTATTCACCTAATCTATGGCCCTCATGATTTTAAAGACCTCTATAAGGTCATCCCTCAACTTCCTACACTTCAGAGAATAAAGTCCCAGCTTATCCAGCCTCTCCTTATAACTCAAACCCTCCATTCCCAGCAACGTGCTGATAAATCGTTTCTGAATCACTCTCCAATTTAATAATATCCTTCCTATAACAGGGCAACCTGCCCACAGTGCTCCAAAAGTGGCCTCAGCAACATCCTGTACAATCGCAACATGGTAATATTTTCAGATGAGACAAAACGTGGAAGTATTAAGAACTGAAAGAGGATAACAATAAACATTGATAGGTTATGGACACATAAAGTGGTTCCCAGATAAATGTGAAGTGATTCCTTTTGGCAAGGTCAGAACTCACACAACACCAGCTTATAGTCCAACTGGTTTATTTGAAAGCACAAGCTTTCGGAGTGAAAGGGCAGTGCTCCAAAAGCTTGTGATTTCAAATAAACCTGTTGGACTATAATCTGGGGTCATGTGACTTCTGACTTTGTCCACCCCAGCCCAACACCGGCACCTCCATACCTTTTGGTAGGAACAGTGGGGAGAGACCATGCACAATAAAAGTTCTGAAGGAAGGTTTAGGAGCAGGAGGACCTTCAGAAATATGTTCTGCAATCATTGGAGGTGCAAGTTGAGAAAGTGGATTGGAATGAGGGCTTTTTCAGTTAGGGTTATGAAGTACAAAAGCAAGGAAGTTATTGATAACCCTATGTAAAACAGAACTGTGTCTTATCTAGTGTGCTGTAAAGAAGATAATGGCCGCATTAGAGAGGGTGCAGAAAAGCTTGGCCAGAATGTTTCTGTGGATGAGGAACTTCAGTTAGGAAGATAGATTTGGTGAAGCTGGGAACAGTTCGCAGAGGAGAGGTTGAGAGAGGAGATTTAATGGAGGTCTTGCAGATTATGAGGGATTTATAGGGGGGAAAAATCTGTTTATTTTGAGAGAGCATTGAGAAACAAGGGGAATAGAGCTAAGATGTTTGGACAAAGAGGCAACTGCAGCACCGTGAAAGGTGTGATCGTTCCCTCCCTGGAGGTGGTGAGAGGGGGAAATATTGGGGCAAATTGATCCTGGAGAGGAACAGCTCCCTTTCTCGCCTCTTCAGTAATTAGGGGGCTAGGGACAAAGGTCCACTGGGAGCTTTCTTGACTTGCTGCTAAGGCCCTTATGTGCTCAACTAACGGCCACAAAGAACAGAAGTAAATAGCAATTTATTGTCATGTGTATTTTGACAAAAAAAATGTGAAAAGTGTTATAAATTGCCGTACCAGGGGGCCTAAGTCATAAATAAGAAGAAAAAGAGCAGAAGTATAAAGAAAGAGAAGAAATAAAGCATGTGGGAGCGGATGAGCTCCAAGCAAGCGCTCTGTTGCCCCGCCGCCATCTTGGAACCAAAGGAGGTCAACCTGCCACCCTCCCCAGTCACCAGCGTCCTTTGGAACAAGAAAGATGGCCAGCTTCCTGGCTGGGAAACCATGGTAACCTGCCTGCCAGGTTTGGGGGTTGGGGGGAGTGGTGGGTGTTAGGGGAGCTCCAGTTGTCCCCAGTCATGGACAAGCAAGCCCCAGCCTCGATCCTTTGGCTCCCTACAACATCCACCCTACAACAAGAAGGTGAACCTGACTCACCTCTTTGCCAGCTGATGCCTCGAGGAGTGGAGATGGCGGGGGGGGGGCCTCGCGCTGCGCACTTTAGGACCCAGAAGCTGTCATCACTGGTTGGCCATTGCCGAGGCTGGTGCTTAGTTCGCCTAGCAATGCTCGATGATCAGCAGGCGATTGGTCAGTCCATCTCCCCCTGCGGGAGAGGAATATTCCCATGGTCGCGGCCCTCCACCCCCACCCCACATCTTAAAAACCAAATCATAGAATAGTGTGGAAGCAGGCCATTCAGCCTTTCAAATCCACACTGGCCCACAGAACAGGATCTCACCCAGTCCCACCACATCCCCTCCCACCCTATCCCTGTATTTCCCATGGATGATCCACCTAACCTGCACATTTTTGGACTGTGGGAGAAAACCAGAGCACCCAGAGGAAACCCATGCAGACACGGGGAGAATGTGCAAACTCCACACAGACAGTCGCCCGAGGGTGGAATCGAACCCGGGTCCCTGGCACAGTGAAGTAGCAGTGCTAACCACTGAGCCACCGTGCCACCTCTTGGCACCTCTGCCCCATGTCAAGTTTAATTACTTGTTTTTTTTTACGGGTTACAGTGAAACAATAGGGAGACCTGAAGTGGAGTTGCAGATAGATGAGTCTGAGTGGGCTTTAGAGGCAACACAAATGTCCAATGAATTAGCCATCTCCAAAATGTGAGGCAATCAGAGATTAGTGCGTGGATGTTCGAATGGCTCACTGATGAGCCTATCTTTCACTTCAAACTCTTCTCACGCTGTCTTTCCCATTTCAGGATTGACCGTTCTGATGGCCGAGAGCAAGGATTACAACAAGAGGCTCTGGGCCTGGGAAGGCTGGCGAGTGAACGTGGGGAAAAGGCTCCGACCACTCTACGAGGAATATGCAGCTTTGAAGAACAAGGCAGCAATAATGAATGGTGACTGAGAGAAATAAACAATGCTTGACACTTCAGTCTGCGGCAGTGGAAGTCCGCTGGTGACAATATTTATCTTGTTTGTTTGTTTTGAAGGTTACGAAGACTATGGTGACTACTGGCGGGGAAACTACGAAACCGATGATGTTGGAGTGTATGCGTACAGTCGAAACGATCTCCTGAAAGATGTGGATAGACTACTTGAAGAGGTTAAAATCATTTCTTACCTTAATCACTTTCCGCTGTCCAGTTCACCAAATGTGTGCGATTCCAAAAAGTTTGTAATGCCTTCAGCCAGCGTTTGCTCAAGCCAGAAAAATATTTCAGACAAAAAATTATTATCATTTACTGAAACAATGAACTAAAAACATTGGAAGCTGTTTTGGGTTAATAGTCACTGTCATATCTCGGTGAAATTCACAGACTGAAGTGTCACTTCCTATGTGCAGTCATGGACTTTATTCAGAAATAGTTTTAAAATGTCCTCGCTCTAGGCTGCTAACTTGCTATTAGCTTCTCCTTCTCTCTGTCACCACAACTGTAGTGAACAGCAGACAGAGTCAACGGACAAACTTATTCAAACCAGTGAACAGTACAGTCAGCGTGATGAGGCAGAGTTCTGACAGGACTGTGTTTTGGGTCTAATGCCAGATTCTTGTCACTTTTACAGAAAGTCTCAGTTTTGGGTTGACATTTTCCCCACTCTCCCGAGCCCCACATCACAGAGACCCATTTAGGGATATGGCCTTGGTTATTCTGGGAATCCTACCTCAGTGTACTTTGGAAAGATGCAGCACACATGGGGTGGGGGTATGGGGAGGGGGAGGTTAGCCCCTCTCGACTGATGTGCCAGTTCCCTAGCCCCATCCCGGTCATCTCAGCACTGGAAGGATTGGAACAAGCAAAGCTCCCTGGTTGTACAAAGTGGATGTTTGGTCACCTTAGAACGGGCCTAAGGAAATTTTTTTTTGCAGCGAATGGAGGCCATTCTCCCCATCCTAGCCTGAGGTGCGCTGCTAGGAAAAAGCTGGTATCCTGCTCATGAGACCTGTGCCCTGCTTTCCTCTACTCCATGGTCACTCCCCCTCAGCCCTCCATCTTAATGGCCCCAGTCACAGGATGAGAGCTTACATGGTTCTTAATGGGACTTAAAATGACCAGGATGGGGAAGACGTTCCTGGCTGTGCTTCCCCTCCATCACTCCTGTCCCTCACTTCCTGGCTGGTTAGTGGGTATCATTACATTGTTACACTTCCTGTCAACATCACGTTTCCACGTACCTACCCATTATAGAACAGAATATGATAAACTTGCAGGAGCTCTGCAAGTTGGCATATCTAAATGAACCAAAATCCGGATCAGCAATTATGAAACTGAATGACTTTATTTGTTTAACCCGTCCAGCACTTGCTAAACGTCAATGTTGCCAACAACTTGTTTCTATGACACCTGTAGATAATGCCCCTGTACAAGGAACTGCATGCATATGTGAGAGCAAAACTCCGAGATACCTTTGGGCCAGAACATATCAGCTCCACAGGATGTCTCCCTGCTCACTTATTGGGTAAGATCATTTTATAATTCCTTGGAATTGTCTGCTTTCTGTTATTGTAACATTGAGCAGATGAATTGTACACACATTCCCCATTTGCAACTTACTGAAGGCTCCTGTGCGAGGACCCTTTGTCAGAGTCTGCTTTAAAATTCTTCATGACACAAAACAGCAACGCTTTGGTGGCTCAGTGGTTAGCACTGCTGCCTCATTGTACCAGGGTCCTGGGTTGAATTCCCACCCTCAGGTAACCGTCTGTGTGGAGTTTGCACATTCTCCCTGTCTCTGTGTGGGTCTCCTCTGGGTACTCCGGTTTCCTCCCACAGTCCAAAGATGTGCAGTTTAGATTGGGTTAGCCATGGGAATTACAGGGATAAGTAAGGGGCATGGGCCTGGGTGGGAGGCTCTTGAGAAGGTCAGTGCAGACCTGATGGGCTAAATCGCCTGCTTCTATGCTGTAGAAATTCTATGATTTAACTTTATTTATATACACTTTTTTCTCCTTGGTTGGGTCCAATTGGTTGTGTGATTTTGTTTACGTACAAATGATGTGAAGTTTTGATGTGAACTGAATCACAAAATTTGAAGGGATAACCTTCTGGTTATACTTTCCCCTCACAGGCTGCTGGTCACATGCTGTGCAGAATGCTCTAATTCCACCCCGCTGTGCTATTTATACCCAGTGGTGTGCAGCTCCACGATATTGTCACAAGTTTGCTCCAGGTTCACCGCAGTATCCTGGAAGGACACAGCAAGCCAGGCAGCATCTGGAGGAAAGGAACAGTCAACGTTTCGGGAATTAGATCCTGAAGAAGGGTAATACCTGAAACATTGACTGCTCCTTTCCTCCAGATGCTGCCTGGCTTGCTGCGTTCTTCCAGCCTCCTG